CTTTTTTTAAATATAACTTTTGATTGAGCGGTGTGCAAACGAAAAATCGAAGTGTGCCAAACTGTGCAAACAATGTGCAAACGATTGACATAAAAAAAGTTTTTTTTTTTTAATGTTGGGGGGCCAACTTCACGTGGGTAGTCGCACAAGCGAATAAATAACGCGTACATCGTGCGCTTAAACGGCTGAATGAACGAATGGTAGAGATTCAGTTGGTTGATTCACGAAATCGACGCGATCAACAAATTTTGCGCGAAATCTACAGGTTTTCGTTTTTTTTTGTTTGGTACGTTTGAATGTTCTCTCTCGTTTTTATTTTTATTTTTGTTTTTAATAAAAATGTATTTTTAAACGGATGTATGTATATACATATATCAGTATACATATACATATATCAGTATACATATCGCATCGACCCGTAAACTGCATATCGATACTACACGTGCAAATTATAGATGCGCCGATTAATATCTATCCGAGCGCGTGTGACTTAAAATAATCGTTTCGGACAATATTCGCAACGTCGTGTTTTAATCACCGACAAACTGGCAGCGGACAGTTTCCGGAAATTATGTCCGTCGCTGATGTTTAATCTTGTATTCTGTGTTCTGACACAACGCGTGTATTTTATCGCAAAAAATTGTGGTAAACGCTCAAATACTGGCACGAAAAGTTGGCAAGGAGGCAGCACCAGTGCGTTCACAGCGTGGCGTTAATAAAACTTGAGTTCATTAAAACGTAGCAAGCAGGACTTTGCTCGTCTGATTTAAAAAAATTGCAATACATAAATGATCCTGCAGTATATAAATAATTAAATATTCTCGCGGACTATTTTCTATGAGAACGAACAACATAAAGGACTATTTTATGCGTGATTGTACAGACGCCAAGAAACTGTTGCATGCGTATGTAAAAAATCGGTAAGAAGCATTTATATTATTTTTTTAAATAATATCACGATAAATACAAATGTGTTATTATTATAAATTCAAATTGTACTTTGTGTGAAACATACATGCTTTATGTACATAGACTTGCAAGTGTAAAAAACATAAATTATTTAGTTACTTACGAGGCTTTGGAGGCTCTGGCGGATTGACTTCTGTCAACTGCAAAAGAGAAACATTCTCATTTATAAATCGATATATAAATGTATACACGTCTATTAAAAAAATATTAACTAGTAGTACTATTCTACAGCATTTTAACAAAAAAAGTCTTTCAAACAAATAAATAATATATAAATAGTCGTGAAGAGCCGTTCGCTGGATGTTATGCGGAAAATGTGTCTATATATATATATATGTGCGTGTACACACATATAAACAAATTCACGTTTTCAAGTGTTTTTGAATTGAAATTTCAATTCATAAAATCATACAGGATGCTATACTCGCATCTCATGTATGAAGAACCCCGTATATCCCCCGAACTAATTTTAAAATATTGCGAAAAAAACACCTCAGCCAGGAGTCGAACCTGGAATCTCCGGCTTTCCGGGCCGTCGCCTTCCCTGTTAGGCCACCGAGGCACTTGGAGTCTTGTTTATTTAAACATTTTTTTTTGTAAAATTTACATTTGTAAAAGAAGTCTTGTTTATTTAAACATTTGTAAAAGTTACTATTCTTACATATGTCGACAAAATACTACTTATAATACTGCACTCACAGAAAAGTTATTTTTAAGAGTTCTTTGTGAATTCCTTTGATACCGAGAATCTTTCTCGCGGTGTATAATATAGAAATTTATCGCGCGGTTTGGCGGCTCTTTACGGCGCTCATTCTTGTAATCGCGATAAAAATAATATTCGAGAATCTCGACGGCATTCGCACAAAACTTCACGCAAAATAATCAACTTTGCGTATTATAACTCGCTGTGACTAAATTGATCTCTTCAAACATTATAAACACAGTAATGAACTCTAATAACAATAATGTTACTAAAAAGTAAATTGTTCTCACATAGTATATTATGAATTCAATATTATCAATCAGTAATAATTAATGGAAACCGCACGAAATATTAATCATTATTTCTATTGCCAAAATATATGCATATGCATATATGTGTGTGTGTATATACATATATACATATAATAATATAGAGAGAGAAATTATAATATCATAACATAAACTTTTCGTATTTCTCAACAATTATACAATAATAAAAGACATCTAGTTACTCGGTAAAAAAGAAATTATGTCATCTGCCTACGAAACGTCGGATAGATATTATTGTGTAACGATTCCTTTTATCTGCAAAAAAAGAGGAGCGAAATTGAACCGCAAACCGGGAATTCCACGTGCACATAATTTCGCGCGAACAACTCGGCGCTATTTCATTCCGCTAAGTCCGTGAGTAATTCTTGCGATGTTTAAACGCGCGCGGAAAAACGCCGGCGGCAATTTTGCATTCGGCCGTTATTACAATTTACTCGCGTTCGCGCGCAAAAAAGTTCCTGGGCGTAAAGATATGTACGACCGTCCGAATTAATCCACTTTTACGAGGGCCGATTTCGCTGCGTCTCTCGTCGCTGTGTTCTTTCTTTTTTCTACCCAGCATTTTATTGCGCGCTCTCTTTTCTACCAATTTTCCAAAATCTTTTACCAAATCCTCCGTAGTTTCGGCGATTGACGAAGAGGAAGAGCGAAAGTTCCTCGAAAATTTTCAGAAAGTTGATGTGAATAAATTATATAATTATATAATTATATGTAAAATTACATGTACATATGTGCACACACACGCGCGCGCTTTATATATATATAGTATATATATAAATCTCACTATAGCTATACCAATTGCAAATCACTTTTTACCTAATTAAATGTTTCTCACTATCTGACTGTTTACAATATTCGGTCACCAGAAAGAAAAATGTTTCTTATTTGTGCACACAAATGTTATTACATAATTACTTACCGATTAGAGAACTAAGCAAAAGGAAAGAGTGAATTGCAGCTGGATTAGTCGCAGTTTTAGTCGCGTAGCAACATCATTTTTTCAAGTGGTACGTTCAAGCAGCGAAGTTTTCAACATCGAAGTGAGTGTCATCGCGTAAGAAACGCTGCCATATATAACACACTCCGAATTAAAGCGATGCTTTTTCGACGCGCTCTTTTTTCTCTTTTTCTCTTTTGCTCTTTCGATGTCAACCTGCTCCCCAAACTACTATTCGTTCTGCGCGTTATGTATTCCGTCGCTGCGGAGCTTTTGAGAGCAGCGAACGCTTGATAAGTTGCCAAGTAGCACGGGGCCTCTAGCTCGAATTAATGCGATCCCGAGACGTTTCCCGTTCGGCCGACATTATTGTTCCAGAATTATTCAGCCGTTTGGTATTCAACGCTCTTGCGCTTGTCGTAACACTGTATGTTTCAATAACAGTAACCGATCGTGTTAATTCCGATCAATTAAACGCTCAATTAGACGAACGATAAAACATTCCGCAAACCGTCAGAACCAATAATTTCAATCGGCGGTAAGTAACCTATTATATTATATTATATTATTATTGTAATTTTTAATTATAAATATTCACGTTTTCCAAATATATTTACATACTAAAAGATGCAAACAAATTTAAACGGATAAGTTTTGACAAATAATTAAACCAATGCGCTATTTTCTATATAAATGACAATTCTAGAGCTGCAAATAATAAACATACAAACAGCTTTCTATATGCAGTGTTGCCATCGCAAATCTCTAGCGTTATCGTTCCAACTGAACACGCAAGATTCGCGCATCCACAAATTGTAAAATACAAATAAGACATTAGGAGGCAATGCTCTACCTCTCTACGATTGAACTAGCGTTGTATGTACATGTCGCCATATGCGTGACGTGACATGATGCTTGACATCGTGCTAAGTAACACGAAACGACGATAGTTCCGAGCCAAAATGCTTCACCAAAATCGATATTTTATAAATTATCATACGAAAGAGATAGAGAGAGAGAGAGAGAAACACTCGAAGTTAATCTCGCGTTTTGCATTCATCTTTTTTGGGAAAAATATGAGCGTTTTCGATATAGACGTTGACTTCTTTTCAAACACAATATTTTCTGATCATATCTGCTGTTATGCCAACAAAAGTATAATTTTGCTTGTTTTTTATTTATAACTTTATTTTTCTTTAGTTTAGTAATGTAAAACGTTTTATATATTTCTCCTTTAACCTTTACAAATATGTATTTTTCTTTTAATCTTTCTATAAATATATAAGTATATACAAATGACATCTCTATCTCTCTTTTTCTCTCTCTCTCTCTCTCTCTTTGTGTGTGTAGAAATTATTTGCATAAAAGAACTTTTTTTTCGATTAAAGTAACACACTTTACTTTTTTACAAAATAACAACAAAAGAGAATCAAAAGATAACTTTTTAGCAACAGTAAATATGAAAATGAATGTTTTCGATCAAAGTGTGTTTTATTTGCCATTTTGATTGGCAACACGTAAAAGTCAGTTACAAGAGGAATAAATGGATCGTGATTTTTACCTTCGCCAGATGAGTGTTGAAAGTGAACTTCGATTCCTGGTCCTTCCGCGGTGTTTGCGCGATCGCTGACACTGGTGCGAGCGGCACAGTCATTTCCTGTAAATCACAAAATAAATCGTGATTTTGCGATAGATAGTTTTCCTCAGAAATACAACTTCTCCCGACTTCGAGAAAATTAAATAAAAAATAGTATCAAAATTGTCACCGTAAGATCGTATTTATTTATTTTTAAATTAAATCTTTATTTTTTTACGCAAATAATGAGGGAAAATGTTGATGTGGCAACGTGTAAGAAAGAGATCCAAAAGTTTACAAGAATCAATTTTTCCGCGTAGTTCTCAAGCAGCAAAATAAGCTACAAGAGAAAAAAGCCGTCGCGATTCGACACAACACGTTTGCGTAATAGCGGAGTGCGCGCTCTACTGGGCCACGATTACGTCACTTTTCTGAGAGTAAAGTCTCGTCGGACGAATTCCATGCACGATTGTACGACGTATGCAACAAGCACCTAACATAACTGCGCATATAAAATGTGCCCGCGCGCGCACTAAAGCTAATAACACCCTTTGAGAATTTATGAACTCCGCGAAAGACGCGAAAAAATTCTTATTCTGTAATCAATTTTGATTGAACTTCAAATAGACGAGAATTTAAATTAAATAATTAAGCGTGCAACACACAAATTCTCCATACGTCTTCTCGACGTATGCGCGCGGCACTCAGACAGGTGTGTGTAACTACTTAAAAAACAAGCGAAGCTGGCCAACGCGTTGTCTCGGTGCAAACTCGCGAACAATACACCGATCCATCGAAGCAACGAGAGGCGCATTTCCACGAGCAAACGTCGTCGTTGTGACGCGCGAACCGATTCATTGACCCACGCCGCAAGGAGACAACCCCGTCAACGGAAAACAAAGAGCCAACGAGTTCTAGCAAAACCTCGCGACCAAGAGTGCTTATACTCTTATATGTATTCATACGATCGGCGTGCACTCAACGCTGACGCTCGCGAAAAATTAAGTTCTCAAAAAAGAAAAAAACCCGAAAAGAAAATCGTTGCAAAAAAATCGAAACAAAATTTGAAAATTGCAAGTTTTTTTTCCATGTTCACCTTACGTAATATTTAGTGGCTGTATTTATTGAAGTATCAAGCATGTAAGATCTCTTGAAGATCTATCTCACTTCTGAAGTAAAATTAACTTGTTAGATACACTGAGGGCAATTTTAAATAAAACTCGGCACTTTACTTCAATTGTTAAATAATATAGATATAAGTATAAATTTATTAATCATGGCACGTTACAAATAAACTCAAATATACTCTCGGCACGTTACACGAATTCTTCTACAAATCTTTACATATTCAAATCTTCGACCGATCTCGTCAACGACTCCAAAACGATTCTCTCTGCGTAATCGGCAAGTATCTCCAAAATCATGCACGATACAATAACATGTGTTCCTAGAGATGGCGCGATACGACCTCTCTCAAGGGAATTACAATAATAAACAGATAAGGGCATTAGCTACAAGGTAACACACATCAAGCCATTCGGCAAAGTCGGAATATTCAAACAGAATTCAGGCGCTTACAAGCACATATATATATAATTCTAAACTTTGAGACAATTTCCTTATTTCCCTCGTTCAATTTTCCTTTTTATCGTAAAAAATATGAAAACTACGCAGTGTTTATTGCAAATTTTAAGATGTCTTTATACGTTAAGACACGACTAAGAATTGATTCTGTGTAAAATGAAAAAATAAAAATATTTCTTTAACTCTTTTTTTGGTTCAGTTGAAACTCGAACTTCTTGTCTGTGATTACTAATCAATTTAATGTTTTGCTGCTTGTGGTGGGTAAAAAAATATTCTCGATCTGATCGCATAGTAAACAATTTGTTAACGAAATGTAAGAAAAGATAACACTCGATAATATCAATACAACGTCGCATTTAAGAGAGAATTGTTATCGAGTAAATTACACTGCAATTTCGTCAAATATGCGATATCATATTAATGTAGCTGGCAAATATGCGGTGTAACAACAACATATGTGGCGAAACGGAAACAAACGTTTTATGCTCTGAATGCAACATACATCTTCCTGTGAGTCGCAATAAAATGCCAAATTGCTCGAAAACTATACGCAAACAACAACATTATTGACAATAATAAAGAATATAATTATTTAAGTGTTTTTCTTTGAGTTACAGGTAAAAATATGCAATTACATATATAAATCGTTTAATAAGATGAGATTTGTGTTTACGTGTACACAAAAAATTTAATTACAGAGTTACTTAATAGTGAATAAAGTTCATCTCCCCTCCTATTATGTACCTACTCTATCTTATTCTGTGTATCCTACTTTTAAACATGCATCCTTCTCTCAATCAAGTATTTCTTTGTTAATCAAAAAAAGTCAAATTATACAGTGGTTGATATCTACAATTATTATTCGTCGCTTGTTTCACGCATCCATAAATGCACTGCTACTGTGTAAGTCTTCTCTTTATCATTATGAACGAAATCGATACTCAATTATTGACAAGCGATGGTCGCGCGCAGAATATCGCACAGAAAGTAATCGCCAACTCTTCGAAGCGCATTTTAATTTCGACTGCAGATCCATTGGTCTGTGAAACTTGTTACTGTGATAGAAAACATGACGCGCGCGACACCGATGTAACGATAAAAGTCGACCGTTCGCAGAAAACTAATGAAGAAGAAAAGAAACTTGAACAATTATTGTTCACATTATATAAAAATTGTGCTTTAAGATGAAAAAGATTATTTCTCATTAAAAAATTCATGTGTACCGCAAAGTGCGCGTTTTTGAGTCGAATGTATCGCATCTATTGTTGCCTCCTTTCCGCGTTGACGATTGGTTGGTTGATCGAGTCGAGTCGAGTCAAATCGAATCGGTAAGATCGAGAGAGTAAATAATGACAGAAAAGCGATTTTGACAGTTCGTCGTATACGTGGAGAAAACTAAAAACGTGACTAAAGTAAAGTCACGTGACAGAAAAGAGTAGAAAAACAACACGTGACTAAAGTAACGTGACTGTAATTTATAGTATATATACCATTAAATAATATATATTATATATATATATACATATAATTTATTATATGTGTATAATATATATTATATAATTTATTATATACTATATATATATTTATAATATTATACATTATATTATATTATATGTGTGTATATTATATACTACAGTATTACATACTACAGTAAGGTCACTGATCTTGGTCACGTGACCGCGGCGAGGTAACTGACCTCGACCGCGCGGCCTTGGTGGGAGGAGAAGTCACTGACCTCGGCCGCGCGACCTTAGTGGGGGGGGAAGTCACTGACCTCGGCCGCGCGATTTTGGCGGGGTCACTGACTTTGGTCACGTGATTACGGCGTGCGTGCGTGCGTGCGTGCGTGTGTGCGTGCGTGTGCGTGTGCGTGTGCGTGTGCGTGTGTGTATTATATATAGATATAGAATATTATATATGATATATATAATATTCTCGTTTTTACTCTTTTCCTTGTCACGTGACTTTAGTCATATGATGTTTCTCTACTTCTCCTTGTTACGTGTTGTTTTCCCACTCTTCCCTTTTTTAGTTTTTGAGTTTGATCTTCATGTGTTATTTCTGATATCTCTCATTTGTACTTCATAGGTATTATATGGTTTGTAAGACGTATATATTAGCTGTTATCACATTTTATCGCGATGAAAGGTGTTTACTAACACAACACGTTAAAATAAAAACAATAACAGCGTAGCACGCGCCTGTGCTAGTTCTGCTTAAAAAAAACCAGTTTCTTTTTGTCAACACTTTTGTTGTTAAGCAAAACAAACGCTCGCTTTTATCTATGTAACAATTAAACTTCAAAAAACAAAAAAAAAATCATGAATTATTATATGCGTGTAAAAATTTATGTATTTATTATTTTCATATACCGATAAAAAATATGACGAGACATTTAAACAAAATACACTCCAACTTCAGGGAAGTGATTAACATTATTAACATATAAATTTGAAGCTGAGACTGTCAGTTTCTGTTACGCTCTTTAAGGTTAATCGCACTTGTTATTCCTGCCGCAGCGCGTGCACAGTTGCAGTTGCGCCGCACACGTGACTCGCGTGCGGCATTGCCCGACAAGCCGTCCTAAGGGAAATGAGACCGACGAAAAAGGATTCGCATGCCGAGGCAAGGAAAAGAGAAGGACGAAAAGGAATTTTCAGGGGTTGAGTCATCCTGTTCGCCCTCTTGCTTTCTCTCGTCTCTTCGTTTTTCGCGATGTACGGGTCTGTCGCACGGCAGACGTGTATCGTGCGGATGATTTACGGGAGCCGATAATTTATTTCCGCGCCGCACGAAGAACGACATCGAGTTATGCAAATTGTACGCGCCACGAATGAGGAATTTATAGCGGTATGATATCGGACGAATAAACGTCGAATGCATGATGAATAATGTACGTGAGCGGAAGCGACGCGGGCCGCTAAGACAAAACTCACATAAGATCGATACGTTCTTATATTGTCGTGATAAAAAATATTTTGAAAAATATTATGTAATTTCTTTTGGACATTTTTGTGACCCGCTGCAGCTTAAAAGTTATCTGAAGCACTTTATGGGAAGACTTTAAAGCTTACCGTAGTCAACGGTACGATAATTATGTCGGACATGCGAGAGAAAGGAACGAGGCCGCGGGAAAAGCGAGAAAAAATTCGACCGCAGCGAAAAATTTGCAAGTCGCACCTGCTAGGTCACGCTAAAGCGCCGACTTTAATGCACCTCCCCCCCAATAAGTTGAGTAGTGTCTGTCCTCTTTGATACATTAACGGATTATTGTGTAACTCACGTACTTGGCTTTTTACATCGAAACTTTTGTACTCGCCGCAACTTCTTGCTCGTAGATGTAGAAAAAATTGGATTAAACCCTTTATTATTATCCAGAGGTGCGACGTTTCCACTTAAAAGTTCAGTTATCGAAGATCTTCTCGCAAGCTTTCAATTAAATTTTATTAACTATCGCTCTTCGATAATCGAGAAATAAGATACAAATATATTTTGTCGTTTAACATCGCGCGCTCTTCTAGAAGAGTTTAACGAAAGTTTTTAATTCGCAAAAGTAGATAATTACACTTTATTTCTAGCTGCTTCGAGACACATGGCAAACTTTGTTTATACACTTGACTTTATAATTTTCTCGATTTCTAATTTTCCGGAAAGTTGCACGGTTGAAAATTGCGAGAACAACGAGAAAGTTTACAAACGCGCGCGCGCGCGCGCACTCTCACACAAATGATATATTTCGCGATGTTGAGGACAAGTTGCATCAACAACTGGCGCAAAACGACTAAACAACTCGGGGTCTCGGTAATTTAACAATTCATCCGTGACAACAAAAACTCGCGATTCGACATTCGAACTAACTATCGGTGAATGAACATGTACACAGCAAAAATGCAATGTTGATAATTATTATAGAAGAGGAGTGTAGCAAGCTTCAAAAAATTTTTATAATAACAAGAAATGTATAATGGCCATTTGAAGCAAAAAACACTGGTGATAATGTGTGTATGATAGAGACGTTACTTTATTCAAGCAGGTAACATAGAACGTTTTCGACCTTAGATTAGGCCTTTATCAATATATATATAAATATGATGTTCTTAAATTGAAAACTTGATCGTGTCACATGATTACAAATTAGGAAGTAACCTCAGTTACTTTGATATTTCTAATTTGTAATCATGTGACACGATCAAGTTTTCAATTCAAGAACATCATATTTATATATATATATATTGATAAAGGCCTAATCTAAGGCCGAAAACGTTCTATGTTACCTGTTTGAATAAAGTAACGTCTCTATCATACACACATTATCACCAATGTTTTTTGCTTCAAATGATAATTATTATGTTAGGTACGCGAGAAAGAGCGAGAAAAGCCGTTACGACGCGACCGGTCAACCGACCAATGGCACTGGCACTTGCGGAATTGCACATCTTTCCCAATTATATACTTTCCGTCATTTTCCCCTCGGTTTCTTGTACCGCCTTTTCCGAAGAATCCTCATGAAATTAAGTATCGCTTTGCGACACTTAAAAAATGCAGTTGATCCCTGTCGCGTTTCGCGAGAACAACTCGTTCACTTCACACGAAAGTATGATTATTAATTCAATGTTACTCGATACGTAACTGTTCCACGTATCTGGGTCACGGCTTTTCGCACGTCCACACGTGGCGATAAATCGCCACGTTATAGGTCCACCAAGATCTCGAGAATCGAGACTTTTGAGAGAATCCGCGTGAACACACATGTACACGTACATATAATCTTTAATTAAATATTTACTACAATCAGCACAAAAACATTGAGCTTCCACACGCCGACGTAAAAAGATAAAAGTGCTACGCGAGAAAACAAAAGCGGACAGCGACAAAGGATTTCGGATCTAAGACAAAAACATTCAAAATAAACCAGAAGAGCGGGAGGTGGACGAGTGCGATATTCAAAGTTAGCCAGCCAGAGAGCGGTCGTAGTAGAAGTAATAGAAGTAGTAGTAGTAGTGGTGGTAGTAGTAGTAGTAGTAGTGGTCGTCGTCGTCGTCGGCGAGCGCAATTAGCAGTCGCATTTACGATGCCTACTGGCGCAACTCTCGTATTTTCCCACGGGCACAGCCGTGAGAATAATTCATGGGCTCCTGGCGCAGCCGCGGTCGCGACGGGAGGGACGCGGGAAAAGAAGAAGAGAGAGAGAGAAAGAGAGAAATTTCAGAGGCAGAACTGTACCGGCTACTCGCGGTAGACAAGCATCGTCATAAATTCGTACTGAAAGTAGAAAAGCCCTAGGGGCGGCGCGCCTCGCTGTACGAGCCTGGCTCGTTAAACAAATGGGACGCGCGCGGTAGCGGCTTCTTTTTCGTGGTCATTCCCTCGTTAAAAGAATTACTGATATCGCGCGCTTTCGCCCGGCACCTCTCCGCGTCGGTGTTTGATGAAACCTTCCGGTGTTGTATTTTAATTCTCCTGACTAATGAAACAGTGGAAATCTTCACTCAATTTAGAATTAGTGTATGTAAGAATGTTTTCAAATTGTTTATTATTAAATAATTTCGCGTGATACGATAAACTCATTCGAAAATTTAGCGAAGAGAGAGGCACACTTCCGAAAATTAATAACGCAAACTGTATTGTTGCGCGCTACGTGTAACGTCGAAAGTATCAATCACGATACGCGAGAGCAAAGCGTTGGAGAGACGTCAATCTGCGCGCGGAGGTGAGATTGATACTGTCACAACGTTACGGCTGCAACGGCCCGGGTGTTATTAGAGCCCGTTAATCGCCATTAAACCATATCCATAAATTAGCATACGATTCCGTCGACCCCTAACTCGTTTCGCTGATCCTCCCGGCAACCCTAGCGGCAGTCGAGATAGACTGCTGCTAAAATCCCGCTATAAAACTCGAACATCGGGATTAAGAATCCTGCGGGATGGACTATTTTCGGCTCAACGTGCGTCATCGTCGTCGTGGGGACACGTCACGTCGGAAAAATAACATGACGCTCGTGCCGTGCCAGCGTGAATCATTGCGACGTTCGGACACGCTCGAGCGTCAGAGAAATCTCGTTTCCATACTCGTGTAGAAATTTCGTCGAGCTTCGTCTCTCGCCGCAATACACACACACACACACGTGCGCCACGCGCGAATGGCGTCATAAATTCACGTGTCGTTCTGAAACGTTTACCCTTCCGACGCTGTGAATTGCATTTACCACTATAATTACTTATCCCGGATAATTTAGTCGCCAGCTTTATTCATTGATGTTACATGTATAGATACGTTTATCATTTTGCAATCTCTCATTTCGCGTATGCTACATATAATTTTAGATTTTATTAAAATTGTATGAAAACGATATGCTATGCATTTTTGAGTTAAATAAAACTTTTAATTTATACGCAGATTTAAAAATACGTCAGCAAATATAAAATAAATTTCAATTTATTTTAATTACTTTTATGTGTGCGCCAAATTGTAACAATAATTATATATTACAATTTAGTTATGTATAAATATATACATCGTTGTTTACCTTGCTATTTATCATCAATTGTCCGAAAAGCTTCAAACATATATCCTCGAAAAGTTTTTTTCATCTTAGTTTTGTACCTTTTTTTTTCTACTTCGAAAAAACAATTCAAGTTCGCGTGTCTCGCTACAATCGTATCGCGCGCATAGAAAAAAAACGCTTTTCAGTGGGACAGAAGCGAACGGAAAAGGTGGTGCGCGCATTCCCTCTATTGTCAGGACACAGTTTGCAGGAAGACGCGTTCTTTGCCACCGTAATTCCGCATTTCTCGCCGCGCGTAAACAGTCTGAGCCGTTTTTTGCGGCTGTAGTTTTTGCCGCCAATGTTTACGAAAGTATTTACGATCTTGCGTGAGGCAATTGTCACAATCGTTGTATCGTTTGAGCGCAAATAACGGCTGTTTATTTACCTGATAAAGAAAAGCTCTATTATATAAGAAGAAAAAAAACGCGATAATGATTTTCTTTAGTATTTAAAATAGTCATACTTGCAAATATGTAAATTCCTGTTCTGGACGTTAAAAAAAAAAAAAACTAATTTTTGCTTATAATCAGATGTTATTTATACAACGCTCAAGAGATTAATATTCAGAGCATCAACTTGCAATACGTGCAATAAGCATATGATAAATTATGTAAAGAAAAAATATGTAATAAATCATTATAATGTAATAAATAATTGTGTGCAAGTAAATCGTTCGTCGAGTGACTTAGCAACAAGGCCACCTGAAAATACGCGCACGTGGCTTTGATAAATTTTTTATTAACAAGCCGCCTGCCAAAGCGCACACATAGCAATATGCAACGAAGCATCTTCGATCGGACGTTTAAAACTTTGATCGAACTATTCAAATGTTTAATGTTTTTTTTTTTTTTTTTGCATACCTCAAATCTTGCGCATGTCGTTTTAATAAATTATAAGGAACGGTATATTTAAACGGATCAACGCTAATTTACAACGAAACTAGACAAGCCAAAGAGTGATTTTCCGGAAAACCGCGAGCGACGCGATAATAGTGTTGCTTCTCGTCTTTTCGTTTAGAAGACTTTTGCGGAAGACGCGGGAGAAAAAACTTGAAGTAAAAGCAAAAAATTCGGTCAAACAAGATACATGTAATCTCCTTTCTTAATTTCTGGATTAACAAACAGAGAAAAAGAAAGGAGAAGAGGAAGAAAGAGAGAAAGAGAACCAGGTGCTTTCACTTAGAGATTGACAGAAGTCAAAACGTGAGCTTCGCGAAAAAGACGACTGCAATTATTTCTTTTTCAATAAGCAAGATGCTTGCTTCGAGAAATCTCGAGTCTTTACTTTAATCTTTGTAAAAAGGAAGGTAACCTAAATTTATCTCGAACATGATAACAGCTCGCGTTTCGTAAATTCGTGGAGGTCTGCGTTTCCGAAAATTGCGCAATTCTTAGAAAATAGCTTTTCTCGCAGTTTTTTTGATTAACGGAAAATCGGGATCTGATTTCCTAAAAGGATTCACTTATCTCGCGCGCGCGTGTGCTAGAGAGAGAGAGAGAGAGAGACAGGGAAAGAGCGTAATATGGTCTCGTCGAAGATCAGACGCGCTCGAGGTGAACGAAGAATAGTAAATCGATTTGATATAAGATAGTCTTGTATCGAGAAAAAGATTGACTTATTGATCGAGCATGAGTCTTGCCGCGTCTTGAGTAGAAAAGGAACCCGACTTGAAATAACCCAGTTATCTCAACATCCGAACTTGTGTTTATCCGCAAGTAAGTGTTTTCAGACAGTTTTCAAATCAATGTTCGAATATTGGCGTTTCGCAATTTTTTATGTTATGTTTTATCTGGTTATGCTTCTATATTGTATGTATATATAATTGGTTTTTTAATATTGCATCGTAATTGTTAAAATATTAAGTTTTTGTCACACCTTATATCTACGTTTCTTTTCTTTTTTTTTTGATAAAAAAAAAAACTCACCTTCAGAATGTTTTCCACATCCGGTAGATTGTCGACTGATGACCGCGATCCCTGAAATAAAATTAAGATTTACAAGTCAATAAGATTTGAAGTCAACAACTAAACACTCATATTTTCATTATTGTGCATACTTATTAAGTATAGATCAATAAAAAGTAAGTAAAGAACGCGTTAATGTTGCTGAAAATTAAGTTAATATCCAAAGTTAATAAATAAGATGGAACAGATTGAATTAATTCTTTTTCGCGTACACGCAAAAAATAAATTCAAAATATCTTACGCGTTCTCGGAACTAATTTACACAAATTTGCACTTCTCCGAAGTTTTCTGTGATTTATTACAAGTCTCCTCGAGCAATTATTAATCATCACCGTCGGGTGGGGAAGAAGCATTGAAAACGGCGCGGCACTGAGAAAAATGAGCGGGAAGGACACCGTTGTCCTTTAAAGCGTAGTATTACGAATTACGGCAAATAGTCATTTTCAGAAAGAAAACGCGGGAACAATAGCAAATGCGTGGAATGGTTGAAGTTTTCGGGTGAAGAGACGAAGGACGAAGGACGCGAGAGAAGAAAAAGTCGAGAGCGTCTAGTAACTTTTAGCCGGAAGACACACCGCGCCGAGGATAGAGCGAAAAACGAAGGCAGACGAGACCGAATAATCACGGTGAAGAGAAACGGACGAGAAAATAGGAAAACCAAACAAAAGCAGAGAAAAGAACGGAAACGACGGAAAAAAGTGAGAAGGATACATATTCTTTTTCATGCCTATGAATAGCAAAAAGCGACAAATAAAAAATATATGATTATCTTTTATTATCACAAATTTCAATAAATTTTTATCGAACTGTTTACAGATTATTCACTCAAGGGAGTATATAATTTGCTTTGGCATTTTTATCTGCGAAAATCAATTAACCCTCGGGGAACACACCTATTTTTTCAATCAAGAAGAACAATCTGAGTCAATTTGACCCTGTCCACTTTTTGAGATGCTACCATTTAAAATGCACTTATCCGATTGGCTTGAAAAAATTTTCGGATATATTTTGAACAGTTTGGAATATGCCTATATAGTTTTTAAGTGTCGTTAACATTATTAACATTGTAAAAAATATGTTACAAAAAAGCAAAATTGAAGCAAAATATTTTGATCAAAGTCGACGAACAGGGTCAAATTGACCCAGTGTGTTCTCCGAGGGTTAAATAACACAGTGTTACATTATTACCGACAAAATTGTATTGTATATAAAAACTAATCACAGTTTTTTTTTTGTTTGTTTGTTTGTTACTGGCAAGTATTGATTTCCCGAGAAAATGCAGAATGGTTGAAGAAATATAAAAAGGAATGGGGTTAAAGAAACTGGATATGCGAGATGAAGGTTAAAAAAACCTCAAGATATATTGCTTTCATTAACATCTAGCGCGATATTTAGGTCGCGAATTTACCCTTCGTTCAACAATCGCGCGCGTTTCGTTCCACGTCCTCGTTATCTTCTTCACATGTAATTCTGAACTAATTCTCGTGGATGAAAACGAATAGCTGACGGTGGAGTCACGACAGTGAACGATTCGCCATTCATTGTCAACGAAAGAGAAAACGAGAAAGGCATTGGTACGAGAGAAGGAAAGATACGACAAACGGACACGAAGAAAAATCAATTTTCCGGGAGAACACAGAAGAAGAGAGAAGGGGACTAAAAACGCACTCAGAACTTCAACCGTTTCTAATTGTATAAGTACATTCACGAGAAAGAGAGGCACACTCTCTTCGATCGTCTTCTAAAAGTGTAGTCAACGTACCTGGAGCGGGAAAAGGATCGAGAAAAGAACAAGACACGATCGATAGTCAATTTCAATGAAATTTGCACCTCGAGCTACGCGTAATAGCGCCCGTTCAAAACTCCCACTCCGTTCCGTGATCTAGACCCACTCCTGCTCAACTAAATTTCCATTGAAAAGCAATTCGTTCTCTGTCAACGAGCTTGTCGAGCCAACTCGGTTTCGTTTGATATCTGCCGGATGATCTCTCGAGCAAAGTTCAGAGAAAAGGGACAACGAAAAAGAGAGAGAGAGGAGAAGGGATAATAATAATCTCTTTATTATGGCTACTCTGTGATTAATGTCACGGTTATTTCATCTTTATCTTGAAAATTTACGGTTGAAAGAAAGAAGCACTATGATTTGCTCGTTCGAACGCAGTAGTAAGTAGCAAGATAGAACGAATGATACTCAAAGATCTCAAGATGAGCAGTAATCAGATTAATCCGAGAATTATGCCGAGAATGTAGAATTTTTTTCGGAAAAAGAAAACAGATCTTGTGCTTCGATTAAGCAGTCTGATAAAATAAAAGGTAATTATTTACAATAGGGGAGCCACCTCCGATTTCAATAATTTTTACATATGTTGTCAAGGTCATTGTCCCGAGTAATAATATGAAGGTTTTAGGCCGCGGACGTGGTTTGTTTAGAAGTTATAAGAAGAAGAAGTTTCATGAATGAATTCTTATTTTTTTTGGTTCCACGTACATTTCGTTCGTGTTTCAAGCGTGTAGGCAGGAGGGCTGCGCCCCCCCTGCACCCCCCCTAAAAACCTAACCCAACCCTAACCTAACCTAAACTCTTCTTTCTGCATTCCTTCTCGCAAAATTTCCACAATGGTTAGGACATCCTTTTTCATCCAATCAAGTCGTTATTTTCCACAAAATAACGACTTGATTTTCAAGGGGGGAGCAGGGGAAGGGGCGAAGCCACTCCCCCTGCGGGGGGCGCAGCCCCCCCTCCCTACACGCTTGAAACACGAACGAAATGTACGTGAGATCAAAAATAATGTCTGTTACAGACATTATTTCAAAAAAAGCGTCCAATCGTTCATCAAAATCGAACGTTTTCTTAAATGCAAATTCGGCCAAATAATGATCAAAAAGATATTCCTCACGAACATAGAGGCATTTCCCATGAAACGACCTTTCAAGATACAACTACAAAAGCGTATAAACAAACACGTGCCCAAACACACGCAGAACACCTATTCATATATAAGATGTCCAAAAATTACATATTGTTCAGTAGACTTTTTTCCTCTGTAACTTCTAAACAAACCACGTCCGCGGCCTAAAACCTTCATATTATTACTCGGGACAATGACCTTGACAACATATGTAAAAATTATTGAAATCGGAGGTGGCTTCCCTATTGTAAATAATTACCAAATAAAATTAAAAAAAAAAAAAAACTATACCAAACAAAAAAATGGATCAGATAAAAATTGAAATTGCGAGTTTTGAAATCAAAATTAAATTTAATTGTGCAAGTCTTGAAACCAAAAGATTTTTCAACCATCAATATTATCGATATGTGTGATATGTGTTGCTTGATATTACAATAAATCAAATTAAGAACAAATTACGAACGCACAGAAAAATTAACAACGACATAATGATTTCAAACAACTTGTTAATTTCGACAGTGTTTCGTTTAGTACTAGGCGACAATAGCCGCCAGCTGCCGCGAAAACTTTGCTCTTAATCTTCTTACGTGACAAATAATCGCAGTTCTGGTGAGACTTGCTGTTAAAGTATTATAGTTTCAGACTTTGTGAATCACAGATGCCGTTGCGACGTCACTGTCGCGACATGCACTTATCGAAAGGTCCGCTACACATCCGATAGCGTACTAAGAGAAAACTTGGTGCTGCGCGGCAAGAATTAATTTTTTTAAATTAATTTAGGAAGAAAATAAAATTAACAAATATACACATAACCACCTCTTTTTATCTGCTATGTATTTTTTTTATTAGATTTCTTTTTATATATTCTTTTTTCGCAACGGTTTCAATTCCGATATATGCGAACTTTTTTTTAACCCTTCTTCGATGATATTATATCAACACATTCGCGACCGGCGATTTTAAAGCGAGATGTTACTTGAAGACCGCAAGGTTCTGCTATTTGAACGGGTGTAAAAATGTTGCTTCATCATACTACACTATATATTTATTAAACAAATAAAAACATAGATTTTTAAATGACGTAGAACTACGTTCCTTAGCTTCCGATTTTGAAATGACGTAGAACTACGATCGCAAATGTGTTAATATCGCTGCCGTCATCGTTCTTTCGTTCTTTCCGATATCTATGTTACAAGGAAACACGCGACTTCCGAGAGATTCCGCAAAAAAACACTTTCTGCCCGAAGCGATCAATCCGTTGCCTCCGAAAAGCCATCATCGTCCACTCTCTCACGGGACGTTGCACGATCATCCTGCATGCAAAATGCATTCGAAACGATTTCCGAGATCGAGCCATCACCATCACGGCATCGACGCGTATGGATAGTAAATAAATAAAGAGTAGAGAGAGAGAGATAAAAGAGAGAAAGAAATATATGTAAAAAAACTCAATACTCACGTTAATTTCGCTTAACTTTAGTCGGCCGCTGAATTGAACGCGGCTCGCGAGGCTGCCGCTAGAGTTGCTGACACCGTTGGAACTTCCGGCTGGTAACATACCGTTGTTTCTCACGGGGGGAGGCGGGTGCAGCTGTGGTAGACACTTGGCCGGAAGTAAAAGATGGCTGCGATGATCATTATTGCTGCTGCTGCTGTTGCTGCTGTACTTAACTAGCTGACTCGAATAGCCACTTCGGTTGCTGTACGACAGCTTACCGTCCGCGGGTTTAACGAAGCTGCTCCGTTCCTGGTGACTCCTCGAGCTTGACGCAGATGATAAGGAGTTGTTGGGCCCTCCGAGCCCACCTGGTTTCTTAAACTCCGCAGACGGGGAATTGGTCTTGGAGTAGCTAGAGCTCGACCTGTGCGACGTGGAATAAGGTGTGGGACTCCGTGGCGTCGAACTTTGCGGCGAAGGCGCTGGGCTCTGCGGGACGGGATCGATGCCGATAAGACCTCTAGTCTGTACAGGTTCGTCGAGCAAATGCTGTATATTCGTAAAAGTTCCTAATTTTGACTGGATCAGCGGATCAGGATTCACCTGAAACCAACAAAACAACATGTAAAATAACATAAAGAAGAAACGTCGAGGAACTTAACATATTGAAACGCTACGGTGGTCACTCGTGACCGGCGTTTACACACTACATTTTGTTAAATGATTAAAATAAGATGAACATCATCGATTAAAAAATTTAAAAAAAAACGTAAATAACTAAAAAATATTGTGAAATAAAACGTGCGTTTTTATTCAACAATAAAAAATGTTGATCAAAACATTTTATAAAAGTTAAATTTTACAATGTACTATATGTTAAAACATTTCAAGCAGATATGGAACTGACCATTATAATCCTTGGAAAGTAAGTAGTTATTTTTTTATATAATTTTTTCCTTTTTCGTACCGAAATTTCTGACATTGTTTTTGTAACATATTTTACCAAATTGTCGTAATAGATACGCTAGCTTCTTCTTTTGAATTTCATGGCGTGACATCTTCAGAAAAGCTAATCTTTCATGATACATGTCGCGTAAACTATAGATTTTCAGTACTGACAGCGAATTCAAATTTACTCTCTTAAGTAGAATCAGTTAAAATTTCACTGATTGATTCAATAATAGATAGTTTCACTGAAATTCAGTGATAATGTTACTGAATTTTAGTGAAAGTATGTCTCTTTTATGATAAATCAAGTAAAAATTTTACTAATTGAGTCAGTAACAGATTAATGTTACTGAGAATCAGTTAAAATTTTACTGATTGATTCAGTAACAGATAGTTGTACTGGAAATCAGTAATGTTCAACTTTTTCATTTTTCTTTTGAATGCAAATCACTTCACTGGCTTTCGCACCTCATGTCATATTGTCAGCTCTGAGCATTTTTATGCTGCGAAATAAATGGAGAACATAAAAAAAATTTAACCGTGCAAGAATTACTGATTTGCGCAGTAAAAGAGTTCTAACGGAATGAATCAGTATAATCTACTGATTCTCGGTGGAAGACTTATAACTATCGGAATCAGTAAATATTTACTGATTTTCAGTGCAATACACTGATTCTACTTAAGAGAGTAAGAACGCAACTCAAGAATAACCAAGTGACATTGTAGGGCCACGGTGGTCACGGATGACCATCAGCGAGATAAACACACTATTGAAAAAGACATGATCTTATTAATATTTTATCATTATATGCTTAAAATTATGAGAAAATTCTATTGTGGCCCCTAGAGCGAGACATAAAATTTGCGTGACGGTCAACGTGTTAATTCTAATGTTTAAATAGATATTTTTTCACTACGTACTCTTTTCTTCACGCGTGTGACAACTAAATGATCAATAACTAAATCCTCAAAACGTGAGAAAAATCGAAGTTTTCAATTGCTGTAATGAATTTCGTATACAAGCGCGTTAATTGCCTCTTGAACCTTTCTGTTGTGAAAAAAACGTTACGTTGCCAAGAAATCGCGGTGACAAATTAAACAGTTTGCATCTGGAATACGATGTCTAATGAACAAAGAGGTTAATGGTTAAAGGCAGCAACCGTACAAATCAATTATATCACGACAACATGCTCTCCCTCCCTTCTCTCGACATTTATCAAACAATATGATCAGCAGTAGGATTTTACACAATCGAAAGTTGCTGATACAGTCGCAAATCTTTATCGAGTTTTATCCTCACGTAACACATACGGTACTCGTTATATATACTGTATATTTATATAGATATGTATGTATTACGTTCTCTTCGGTGCGCTGATTGCACGGGCAATTAGCAAAAATTAATGTACCGAGGAGCGGACGGCTGTCGGAGCTTACGACACACTGTGTTCGACTGGTAATTTAGCGTGTAGAGCGCGCTAATATGAATCGCGCTGTTGTATGTGTGCAATAATACAAGCGCTGTGTTCTCGCCGAGCTTTGCTCACTGCTCTCGGCACAAGCAACCGCTGCGCGCGTTTCGCCTTTGTCCGTTAAGGACAATGAGATCGAATCGCGGTTTAATAAGGAGGTCGGAGAACGCGGAGAGCACGCGCAAGAAAAGCAGAGAAAGAGAGAGAAAAAGAAAAAGAAAGAAAGAGAGAGAGAGAGAAAGAGAGAGAATTTAACGTGATTAATGAGCGCCGCTATAAATCACGTCCGCTTGTTAGCGCCGGAAGACTTTTTCGCGCCGATCGCCCTTGTAATGAAGGGTGCCCTCGATGGATGCGTTCGAGTCGGAATTTCGGAAAGCAGACTACTTGAAATTCTTGTGCGTGCTTGCGCAGTAATAGCATCGACGGGGACAATGGTATAGTCGAGAGTGATTGTTAGCGCTGATTATGGTAGTGTGAGACGAGAAGAAACCGTTATCGTTAAATATTACGTGCCATAATTTCTCTCAGTTTGCGCTGCGGATAAAATGATGAAAATTGTCACATCGATTGAAAGAAAGAAGAGAAAGAACGACGCGACAATATAATATTGTCAAAAAGTTCGAAATATAAACAGAATTTAATATAAAAACAGTAGTTTTATAATTTTTGAAAACCGAACTAAATATTATAATAAAAAACGCAAGAATGTTTTTCTTATAAAATATATCTATAGATGTAGTTGAGAGATTGATCTTTCTCTTCTTTAAATAATTCTAGACAGGAGCGTATAATAAATGTTTTTTTCCAAAGATAGGACATCGATGTGTCTTGTTAATTAAGCCTCGAGGTATCGTTCCACCTATGAAGTTTGCAGTAGCGTAAGTGCGAGCGAAAGAGAAAGAAAGAAAGAAAGAAAGAGAGAAGAGTGAAAGAGAAACGTGGCGTAGGTGACCAGGTCAGGAACTTCTTATCCTCCCTGACCTCGCTCAAACCTCGTCCAGTCTCTCCGCCTCCAACCAGTCAGTTAGCCCCCGCCATTCTCTCCGGACGAGTAATGCTTCACGTGTTTATACATACAAGTGGCGTATCCGTGCGTATACAACACGTACAACTCATAAGTTATAATAAAGCTCGTACGCAACGTATCGGTGAAAGCGTCGTAAAACGTTCGTAATTATAGCGCGCAGTAACACAATCGCCATATTGCGAAAGATGATACGACGCTCGTCGTCGAGTGGTATACAAAAGAAATCGATAAACTCGCTTCGGCTTACCGACTGAAATACCGTGTACTCAAGCTCAAACATTCAAAGTGGTAAATGATTTCTGCCATAGAGTTCCACAAAAGTTTTTTTAATATAACAGCTGACAAATTGTGCAATAAAAAATAAAAATTCGTATATTATACGAGCAAAAGAACAAAAGGCGAGGAAAATGTGAAATTTGAGAAGAATTGTCCGAGTATTTAACGTTCTCTGACATATTTAACGTCTTAATCATAAAGAGAATACTTTTAAGGACGTTCTCCGACTACAGTGGTTAGCAACCTAAATACAGTAATTGGCAACCTAAAATATCTCTTCTCATGAGTAAGTTTGTACTGCTGTAACAAAGTTAAGTTGAGCTATTCAGCACTGCTAAGACCCGCTTACTCTGCGCAGAAGTTCAAAAATAACTGCAGTACGCAGCGCACATAAATCCAGCAAAACAAAAACAAAAACAAAAAAAAACAAAAAAAAAGCTACAGTTTAAAAACAAGGGTTGCTTGCCATATTATTCAAAATCGTATTTTAATTAAGACACTCTCCGCTACCACATACTTGTTTTTTAAAAAAATCCTAACAAAAATTGTCGTCGGTAACTTTAAAAAACCCCACTTCACAAAGACTCGGCATAGGAAATCCATGTTAAAAATTGAAACTTAAATCTTCCATATTTTGGAATTTAACATTGCTACCCTTATTATCCAAAAAGGCTACGTATAAATAAGATCATAAACTATGTCGCAAATTTAAAGAAAATCCTAGGAAAATCAATAATTCGAAGAACGTCCTTAAAAAATCGCAAAAAGCTAAGATAGCGATATAATTTCGGATCTCGTTCAAATGTATTGTAATGTGTATACATTTTCGCCGACGAACAATATATTTTTTCGTATATGTGTGCTATTTTAGGTACATATACAGTGATTGCGGGCAAATATCGACATCGTGGTATCTGCACGCGAAAACGCGCGGCGGCCGTCACACGCGGTTGTGCGGTATTTATGAGTCTGCACGAACTCGCGACGTGAATGGATGGAAAGCGATTGGTGCGTCGCAACTCTGATCGGGCGCGGACGTCCGACCGAGCTTTGATCCACTTAACTGACGTACCGCGACTCATCAAGCGCGCGTTCGAAATTCGTTGCGCGCGACATGTGAGTGTTTTAGCGAGATGTTTCGACGCGCGAAAATTGCGCGCAACCACCGCTTCGTCGTTCTTTATAAGAGCTTCTTTTAAAAAAATCTGTTCTAGAGATTTTGACATTGCACCACTTCTCGGTGTAAAGACAAAAAGTAATAAAACAGTAGTGTGAAACTTTATTGTACGAACTGACAAAGCTGAGAAACCGATTCAAATGACAAAAACTTAAGGTAGAGAAAGAAAGAGAGAGAGAGAGAGAGAGAGAGAGAGAGAGAGAGAGAGAGAGAGAGAGAGAGAAAGTATAATAGTTTTTCTCTCTCATGTAGAATCGCGCATATACAAGTACACTGACTGCTTTTTTTTTTCAGTGATTATAATCGCTACAATCGAAATGAATAAGTATGTACCGTTTGAACACTATTCAGATATAAAGCAGCTGACGTCTGCGAGTACCGATAAAGATCCATTGCGACACAATGCGCTTTGTTGCGGCATGAATAACCAGTGGGTGCAGTTTCTCGCTAAGAGGAAAAGCTTGGAAAAACCTGGATACATTCGCATCCGCTAAGGCAAGTTAAGCTTCTTATTTCTAAAGAAACTCGACAAAACCCGAAGCTACTCACTGGCGTCACATAATCGTGAAAAATATTATACAGTTTTTCCATCAGATAAAAAATATTTGTAGACCCTAGTAGTAGAATAAATTACCGCGTATATACTTCTATACATATTTTATTGCAATTTATTTTTTTGTTACTTTTCTGTTTCGTTATA